GGAGGAGGAGGCGGAGGAGGAGGCGGAGGCGGAGGCAGTGTCGAAAGGCACATTCACAGGCTGAAATGCGTCACTACTGGGAGAGACGAACACGGTAACCATACTAACGGCAAAAAAAAAAAGAGACCGAGAGTGAGGGGATGAAATCATACAGAACAATTACGAGGCCAAGACTGAAGTAGCTCTAAGTACAGGTGCAAAGCCAGGCGCTGTTAACCCTTTGAGCACCACAGAAAGCCTGCCTTGGTTTCTCGTGATGTTCAGCATGTCTTCTCTTGGTAATTTTCCATTAAAAGGAGCGTGGCAGCGACAGAACGGAACAGCCTCTCCGGGGCACTGAAATCGCCGTGTTTGGAAGACACCGGTCCAGTTTCCACTGTAAAATACTGCCTTAATCCCTATCCAGCTTGCATACATTAAATACATGCGTTTCTCCAGCAAAATGACCTCACCACTTGGAGGGACAGTGTGGATCCGCCCACCGGCCATTAGGCTTGAGCACTCAAAGGGTTACAGAAGTCAGAGACCATAGAGGTCTCACCATGGCACCCTGAGCAAGGTGTGGTCACTGGTGTGCAGTATCTTTAAAGAGACAGTACCCCTTTAGTACTTAGTCTCCTGCCACCTGTTGGAACTTCTCGGTATCTCCACTGAGCAATAACTTGAACCCTTTTTTAAATCAAACAAAACACAGAAGAATTAACATTGATGAAAATTACCCTATACTACAAGCTCATCTCTCTGAAAAAGATCTTAACATATATAATCATACTTAATTTCCAGGTGCATGAAGGAAAATGGAACTTAATACACATTCAAAATAAATCAGAATATACTGTATATTCTGTCATAAAATATTATAATTTCATATACGGTGACAGCTATGCATACAGCAAACACAACCTTAAACGTGGTTAGATATACAGACAAAATGTCCATAACACATTCCTGTCAATTTCACAAATTGAATACCACGGACAGTGCAACGTAAAAAAAAGAAAGTAAAAGAGGGGAATTTAGGGTGAGCGGGACAAGGAAAGGAGTGAGACTTAGTCTGGGGATTCAGACCCAAAAGAAAGACTCGGAAAACAGACACTGTCTCTTTAAGAGTACAAAGACAGGAGTGCAGTGCAGACAAGACCCTTTTCAGGGCTTACGGGTTAGAGAATGGAGCCAGGAAAAGAGGAGACCAGCTGAGCCACTGGAGGGCCGCTAAGGACCCCGGTGGTTTTCTGGAACACCAATCCGCTGAGGCAGCGACGGGGGCATTTCGTTCCGCCGTGCCACACAGTTTATCAGAAGACTGACCAGAAAAGACTAGGACACCACACTGGTTTGCCTGAGGTTTTAATCTCAGATTTCGGGCCCCTGTGCCTCCCATTTCCCCGCTGGGCGTTACTGCCTGCTGTCGACAAGCCAGCAGAAAAGGAGATGAGGAGCGTACGAACACACACACACACACACACACACACACACACACACACACACACACACACACACACACACCAAGACATGATGATGAAATGAAATGTAAATGTTTTTGTCCCCCCTTCAGAGCTGGGCTACGTTCAGCAGCAGTCTCTCAACGCATATGTAACGGGGACAAGAAAAATGGAATTTCAAGGCCTAAGCCTGAGTGACACAGTCAGGACCTGTGACCTCTGACCCCTGACCCTGGTCACCCAACTTTAAAGGAAGCGGTGCGTGCCAGGCCAGAGCAGGCCCCATCTGTACCGTGGACTGTAGGCAAACGCTTCTCGTTAGTGACGGGAGGTAAGCCAACACCGTTTGGTAGAGGTTGTGTTCACAGCAGTGAAAAATGACTCAATCGTGGATTAAACCTGTGCTTTGACTGTTTACCCAATTAAATAACTTAATTTGTGTTAAATATTTGGTTATAAGGCAAACAAACTGCAAAACACATTAAATGTTTTGCACTTTAAATATATATAAGGCCAAACAATTTGAATCTATTTGAAAAACGGCTCAAATACAATCAGCAGTTCACAGCAAAGGAAATTAATTAGCAGCGCGGCTGCGAGAGAGATTCCACATACGGGTATAAAAGTCTGAGCCGCTGCCGTGTAAATTCTCGCAGGAGGGGAAAAGAAGTGCAAAGGTGAAACTGATGGGCTATAAATAGATAACGGTTGGCTTATTCATCAGAGATCAGCAGAAATTCATCAAAAACAGAAGGAGCGCCTATGCAGGAACACCGTGCTTGAAAAGGCCCTGCGGACAGACAGTGGCAAGCTCGACACCCAGCCTTCAGAATTTACTCCCATCTGGCAGGGCTTGGCAGAGACAGCCGAGAAGCACACTTACAGTCCTAACGGGGGCGTAGCGACATTTGGTAGAAATAGAGGCAGAAAGCGCAGGGTCTGGCAGGGTGGCCGGTTCTCTGTAGGACCCACGCCATGCCAAACCAGCATCACGGTCAGCTGGGAGCAGGCAAACGATGCCCAGCGATGCACAGACATGGCCGCAGCCTTTTCAAACCACAGGAAAGCAGCCCCTGGGACCGTTTCAGCGATGGTAATGCTTAACACTACCAGCTTGGTAGCGTCTGCTCAGTCAGCAGAAAAATCAATACTTCACGGTATCAGCGTGTAACGTGTGTCACGGGTCAACCTGGTAACACCACAGCTATGTAAACACTGGTGGCCTCTGAGCTGTGAAGCTAAAGTCAGTGAGAAATTAGTGACATCATCTAAACAGATGAGCAAACAAATAAATTAATCAATAGATAAAACAGCTGTGTTTATAAATGACAAATATGTGCATGTGTACACAGAGTGATGGGAATGCATGGGTGGGTGTTTCATGGAATGACAGGGGGGGGGGGGCAAAATCCTGCAGTTTAAAAAAACACTGAGCTCACCACAGGAATTCTCTCTTTGACCTTTGACCCACAGACTCTGGGCTTGGCTATTGGTGCTTTGGGGAGGGGGCGGGTGAAGCAGAGACCAGCTTTAAGGCCCAGGAGCGGAGCCGGCGTGAAGGCGGGCTGGCGGGACCCGCGCTTCACCAGAGCAAGCGTACTAGTTCCTCACCTGCGGAGGGGGGCTGATGGGCAGAGAGGCCCGGCAGGTCCAGGGAGCTGTCTGACATCACATGCTTCAGGTCCCCGCCCACATCTGACAGCTTCATATCCAGCTGCACGGAGAGTGCGTCCTCAGAGTCATCTTTGCCTGCACTGCTGCCCCCGATGGATGGGAGGTCCAGCGACTTGACGGAAGACGAGTCCTCCTTGGCCAGCTTGTCAGTCAGGCTCTTTTCCGAGGCGCCGAGCGCCGTGCAGAACTTGGAGGACTGGAAGTCGGCGAAGTCGTCAGCGTCGCCCCTGAGCGAGGCGAGAGAGCCGCTGCCTTCCTTCGCGTCATCGTAGGCCAGGCCTCCCTCGAGCGAGAGCTGCTTGAACACGTCGTACTTGTCAGGGGCGCCGCGGTGCTGCGGAGGCTGCTGGCGCTGAGACTGTCTCTCCCCCAGGCTGCTGGCCCCCGGCCGGGTGTCTCCCCAGGCCTCGCCGGCGCTCCCGAATGCCATGAAGTCCGCAAAGTCATCCTGGGCCACAGATCCGGCCCCTGCCGTCACTGCGCCGGCGGCGGCCGAGGGGGAGCCAGAGGAGGAGCCGAAGAGAGCAAAGTCGCCAAAATCGTCGACGCCTCCCCCGGAGGGCTTGGAACCTGTGCTGGGGGGGGGCGCCACCGCCACAGAAGGAGCGGCGCCAGGTGATGGGAAAGACGGCAGCTTGCCGTCTGCCGGGGGCCCAGGTGGGGCCAGGGAGGAGAAGAGGTCAAGGTCGGCCATGTTTAAAGGGTTTCTGGGCTGAGAAAGGGGGGCGGGAAGCTGAGGCTGGAGGGGGTGAGATTTAGGGAAAGCAGGAGAAAATGTGGGCTGGACCATCTTGGCTGAGTCGGAGGGGTCTAGTGGAGAAATGCTGTCGGCTGTTTTAAAGTCTGTGAAGCCATCATCGGCACTGGCTGACTTAAAGTCGGCAAAACCTTCACCTGGACAACAGGGAGAGAGGACGACGTGGCATTAAACGACTTTAACACGGTAAGAGCCTATCGGCTCCCCCCAGATTCAAAGGCATTTGAAACGGTCCATGAGCCCCAAGCTGCTTAGGTTTAAACACTAAAGGTGCCATCGGTAAGGTGAGTGCGTTTTGTAGCCGCCGGGGCTCTGGAGACAGGAGAGAAAGTGCATGCATCAGAGGGAGAGAGCGGCTGGAAGAGACAGCCCACGCTGAGAAGCCACACCACACGCCACTTACTGGGCACTGGGCAGCTGCCCTCTCCAGCTGCTGCTCTAGTGAAACAGGACAGGAAGACGGACCCGCGTCAACCTTCACATGGACGGCGAATCGACTCCACATTCGTTATTAGCCTATAGGGACCCTATAAGCCTGAATAAGGTAGGGTTGGAATTAAAATATTCTGGTGGGGGGGGGGGGGTATCTCTCACTTACCTACTGGCTTCCGGTCTGATGGTGGCTCCAGCTCTCGGAAGACACTGTACTTGTCAGCAGAGTCTGAATTACAAAGAAAAAAAAGAGAATGTGGGATTGTGGGCGGGGCTTCAGCAGCTGTGGGCGGGGCTTCAGCGGCTGTGGGCGGGACATCTCCATGCCAGCCGGGGCTGGTACCTGAGGCAGGGGGGGCTGTATCCACGGTCTGCTCCACCGAGAGCTGTTTGAACACGGCGTACTTATCAGACGAGGCAGACGAGGACCCGGACACTGGGGTGAGCAGAACAGGGCCACTGGGGGGGGGGGGGGGGGGGGGGGGGGGGGGGGGATGGGCCACAGACACAGAAAAAGAGAGAAAGGTTTCACATACATTCTCCAGCCAACACACTCGAGCAGCGAAGGCACGGGGCTATGGAACTAGCAGGAATACGAGGTCACTTCCTCTCCGCCGGCTTCGGGAGCCGTCATGTTCTGCCTCGTGGGCCCCCCGCCTTAAGCGCTGTAATGAAGCATAACACAGGGGCGTGCTACAGCGCCAGGGACCGGAGAGAAACACGGCGCTGCCAAGGTACGGATTAACACTGCGATCACAACAAACTTCACCCAGCACTCACCCTGGACAGGTGACACCAGCCACCGTCCCCCAGGTTAAATGCAACACACTCTCCTATTAACATTTAAATGGGCTTTGTGTGGGGGGGTTGGGGGCAAAAAAACTTTCATTCAGGCAAATGAGATTTCACCAATAAAAAAAAAAAACAAAATTACAAATTTAGCAAGTAAAGGGACTTAATCATGTTGTAAAACTGTGAATAAATTATGTGTGAAAAATCACACCAGCAACAGAGACTGACTACTTCAGAGGCAAATGTAGCCCATTTCCGTTCTTGGGTTTACAAGCTGACGACAATCTCTCTCACGTCAGACTGCCCCCGCGTGGCTGGAACGCTGCCATCTGTTGTCTGCTAGCGGAACTACAGGCAGCTGTCTCACACTGGCCGGAAGGAGGCACAAGTCCCCAGCACGTGAGATGATTTTCCGATAGGGGTGATGTTCAAGTGGGCAGCTCCACAGTCTACCTTACATTGGGCTTGGACCAAACGTGCTAATGAAATGCTAATTTTTATTTTGTTTCATAAGCAAAGCATAATTATTTTTCTGCATGTTACCGCATGTAACTCCAATGGCAAAGTTTATAACACCAGAGCACACACCCAAGAGCAAGTGTACCTGAAAGCTGAAGCGGCAATACAGGGCACTCACCTTGCACAGAGAGATCAAAGGTGGCCAGCTCATTCTGGATCATCTCTTCACTGGATTTCACCTTGGCCTGGGCACTGACCTTCAGGAAGTCCGACTTGCCAAATTTGGGCTTGTCACCCTGGAAGGCGCTGGCAGCCTCGCTTGAGGTGCGATCTGGACCCGGCTCAGCACAGGGGCCCAACTTCTCTGATACGGTGCTAGCAAAGTCCCCAAAGTCGTCGTCCTCGCCGGCCGGTGCCACGCAGTGGGGGCCGAAGCTGGTGAAGGCCTCGAGCTTGCTGGCGTCGTCGGCGGTGGGGAAGGTGGTGACCTTGGCCTCCGTGGTGCGAGTCACATTTTCCGTGCTTCCGAAGGACGTCTCCTTCCGTCGCATGACAGCAGAAGACGGCGCTCCAAACCCATCGGGACCGGACATCCCGGCCAGTGCCGCCTTGGCCTGACTGGCTGAAGAGTCCTCCCTGTCCGGCCAATCGGAAGAGCCTGAGCTTCCAGCTGTGAGCGTACCGAAGGGGTCAAACCTCGAGTCATCGGTCTCTGCAAGAACAACACATGTGACGGGAGGGTGCGACCGGGAGGAGGACCAGACCCCGCACAGCCAGGGTCTCTCCAGTCCCAGTCCAGACCCAGCTCTCCTGGGTCGCTCCCAGTGAGCTGGCGGCAAGCTCCTTACGGTCTTCCGAATGTGATACGTAACACGCTAATTACTGACTAAAATATCTCAGCCGAATCCCCTTCAAAGCATGGCAGGCTTTAGGTGACATCCCAGAGCCCTTAATCTGTCCCCACCCAACCACACCACCAACTCAATGCCAAGCAGCCCACTACGGGAGAGGGCAAACCAGAACCCAGTCAGCATGTAATGGGAGGACCTTGTGATGCCCACAAACAGCGACCAGTGACTACTGTCAAACCATGTGCTCAAAAGTAGGTGTATGAGTTTGAGACAGAAGGACCTGGAATGCACAACTGTTAATCCAGGGAAGGCATTCACATGCCCTGTCAAGTACCATTTAATCTGCAGCAACAAACTGCAGTAATGCCCTAAATGACTATCCAGCACCATACAAATGATGGGGCGTCTTGTGCGTGTGTGATCGAATGTCTTATCCCATTCACCAGTTCACATTCAGCCTTGCCGCATTTCATGTTACCATGAAGAAACTAGACAAGCTTATACAACAGAAATGTCTTTTTCTGCAATTCAATTCAATGAATTGGAAACATAACTGGAGATACAATGGGTCTTGCTAGTCACACGTGGGTTTCTGTTGATGATTAAGTCTTGGAGTGTTGATTTTACTGGAGATGGGGAGGAAATCTGTGGAGCTTGCCGGGGGGGGACCCCACCGCCCCAGGCACTTAGGTCACGACAGCTCTACCCACCGTGGTCACATTTTGTGCCTCGCCCTTACACTTTTAGAGTGAGACAAAGTGAACCAAAACGCTGATATACTCTGCCGTGCAAAGTACTGCAAAGCCATGTCGAAGAGGTGAGAGGATGCAGGGAAGGTGGGGTGGGCGAGCCAGGAATGAGGCCCCCCAGGAATGAGGCCCCCCAAAAGCAGGGCTCGGACCTGGCCTGCCCTTTACCCTCCCATCCACAGTCAATAATCACACCCCCTTTCAGTCCAATAATCACTCCAAAAAAAAAAAGCCCACATTTAATAAACAAACCCAAAGAGGACTAACGACTAACAGGTTGTCATGGCAACACCGATGAGAGAGGAATCTCTCACTGATCCTGTTCTTTCAGCCACGGTGGGTCTGGCAGTCTCAGAAAGGTTCACTGTAATTAAATCTGCCCATGACCAGATATGGTGCACAGAGGGGACACTGGCGCTCATCACAGTGAGCGGGCACACACACGGGCGGGCACACACACGGGCAAGCACACACGCGAGTGAGCACACACGCGGGCAATTTGTGAAATTGACAAGGAATGAACCAGGAGCCAGGCTGATGCATCGCATGACCGTTTCGTAATTTGGACTCCAGGAGGCCGGCAAGGAGGGAAAGAACCAAGACTACGCATTTCAGCTATGTCAAGATTAATATTTATTACGACAACAAGAGTGTAGAGAGAAAGAGAAACAGACAGACAGAAGGGTCACAAATTACTGAGGTGGCTTCAGTTACAAGAAAGGTTTGCCAAGCTAACACGTGTAAAAGAACCCCTTTATTTTTAGTAAAGTATACAAGAGCATGCAGGAAAAAAGGAAAACCCAAACAGCTAGTAGCGAGGAGAATAAAACCAGGAGGAGGAGGCGGAGGAGGAGGCGGAGG